AGCTTTTAAAATTCTCTCCTTATTCTGTATGTTGGGCATCTTCATTATAATGTGTCTAGGTGTGGATCTCTTATGATTTTGCACATTCGGCGTCCTGTAGGCTTCTAGGATTTGGGATTCTGTCTCATTCTTCAAGTCTGGGAAGTTTTCTCGTATTATTTCATTGAATAGACTGCTCATTCCTTTGGTTTGGAGCTCTGTACCTTCCTGTATCCCAATGACTCTTAAGTTTGGTCTCTTAATGTTATCCCATATTTCTTGGATGTTCTGCTCATGGTTTCTTAACAGTCTTGCTGAGCTGTCTATGTTCTTTTCCAGTTGAAATACTTTGTCTTCATTGTCTGATGTTCTATCTTCTAAGTGTTCTACTCTGTTGGTAGTATTCTCCATTGAGTTTTTAAGTTGGTTTATTGCTTCCTGCATTTCTAGGATTTCTGATTGCTTGTTTTTTATAACCTCTATCTCCCTGTATAGTTGATCCTTTGCTTCCTGGATTTGTTTGCGTAATTCGTTGTCGAAGTGATCTTTCATTGTCTGATTTTGCTGTTTAATGTCTTCCTTGATACTCCAGATCATCTGAAGCATGTATATCCTGAATTCTTTATCTGACATTCCATCTGCTGCAGCTGTTACCTCTTCTAAAGTTGCGTTGACCTGCATTGCTTGTGGTCCTTTCTTTCCTTGTCTTTTCATACTGCTTGCGTATCTTTCCTGCAGGTGCGGGCGGCGGCTCTGCTCTCTCCTTATTCCAATTGGGGTGTCGTGGCTACCACGCCGGCAGGTCACTGGGCCTGTTCTGGGAGCTGGTGGCGGCTCTGTTCTGCCCCTACTCCAATTGGGGTGACGTGTCTGTCGTACCAGCAGGCCACTGGGCCTGTCCCGCTGGTCGGTCGCAGATCTGCCCACCTTTCGGGCACGGGTGGAGGCTCTGCTTTGCCCCTACTCCAATTGGGGTGTCGTGACTACCCCGCCTGCAGGGTGCTGGGTCTGTTCCTGGCAAGGGAGGCGACTCTGCTCTGTCACTACTCCAATTAGGGTGGTGTTTGTACCCCGCCGGCAGGCTCCTGGGCCTGATCCGCCGGTCTGTTGTAGGTCTGCCTACCTTGAAGGCGCGGGCGGCGGATCTGCCCTGCCCCTCCTACCACGCCTGCGGACCCCTGGGCCTGATCTGCAGGTTGATCACTGGTCTGCTCACCCTGTGGGCACGGGTGGCGGTTCCGCTCCACCCCCACTCCAATTGGGGTCACGTGACCACCACACCGGCAGGGCCTGATCCGGGCGTGGGATAAGGATCTGCTCTGCCCCTACTCGAGTTGGGGTGACGTGTGTACCACACTGGCAGGCCACTGGGCCTGACCCGCCAGGCTGTCACAGGTCTGTTTACCTTGCAAGCGCGAAGGGCGGCTCTGCCCTGCCCCTCCTACCACGCCCATGTACTACTGGGTTGTGGGTCTGCCCACCTGGCGGGTGTGGGTGGCGGCTCCGCTCCGCCCCCTCTCCAATTGGGGTCACGCGGTCACCACGCTGGCGAGCCGCTGGGCCTGCTCCGGGGGCTGGCGGCGGCCCGGCTCCTTCCCTCTGGCTCGAGGACAAATTGAGGAGACTCGGGTGACTGAGCCTCACCCCCCTTACCAGGAGACCAACTGCTTATGTCACCGCTGGTATTGATGAAGATCTCTCCTCCACCGCTTTCTGCTGACATCAGATCTCTGCCATGTTGGTATCCTATGCGAATGGCAGCATTTCGTTCCCCTTGCCAGGCAACCCAAGCAATGGGTGAGTCCTGACCTGCCCTCAGCAGGACCCGGACCGAGACACAGTTTCCGCGGGCTCCTAGCCCCGGTCCAGGGAAGTTCCGGGAGCCGGAACTCGGCCGCTCCGTGCTCGGTGTAAGCTCCTATAAGTGTAAGCTCCAAGAAGCAGCCCCCGCGGGCTCAGTTCCGGGAGCCGGAATTCGGCCGCTTAGTGCTTGGTGTATGCTCTGATAGTAGCAGGGTCCAAGAAGCAGCCTCCGCGGGCTCCGCAGCCCTGAGCCAGGGCGGTTCCGGGACGGTTCCGGGAGCCGGGACTCGGCCGCTCTGTGCTCGGTGTAAGCTCCTATAAGTGTAAGCTCCAAGAAGCAGTCCCCGCGGGCTCAGTTCCGGGAGCTGGAATTCTGCTTCTTGGTGCTTCGTGTTTGCTCTGATATTAGCAGGGTCCAAGAAGCAGCCTCCGCAGGCTCCGCAGCCCGGAGCCAGGGCGGTTCCGGGACGGTTCCGGGAGCCGGAACTCGGCCGCCCCGCGCTCCGTGTTCACTCCGATAAGATCAGATTTTAAGAAGCCCCCAGGCGCTGAACCCTAGCAATCTGTCTGCAAGCCGCAGGCGAATTGCAGCCTGAAATTACCTGTTCTATGGCTGAATGAGCTGCGGTCAGTCAAAAACAGGTGTGGTGACGTCAGTTTACCAACATGGTGGCTGCTGGCCTCCTCTGTGGTCTGACCGGTGTGGAGAACCGAGATGGACCGCTTCCTTCCCCGTCTCGAACCCAGAATTCAGCCCTGAGTGCGGTGCTTGCGCGTCTGGCAGAAACTGCAGCGCTGTAACCCTGCGTCTCTATCCCAGCGCGCCTTGCAGACTCTAGCCGCGGGGCGATTTGCTTAATAAGCAGTGTTACCCTCCATGCGACAAACCTCTCGACACTTTGTATTTCTAAGTGCGTTTCAAGGGTTTTTGCTGTGTGATCACAGGTCAGTAAGAGGTCCCACAGCCCCACATGGCCTTGTCGTGGGATCATGAGTACTAGGTACCAAGATGCAGGACTGGACTACAAAAGACCAAGGTTCATCCTCTACTTAGGGATGAAAGATGGGTAGGGAAGATCTGCATTTTGGGAAACACTAGCAACCTTCCTACCCAACAAATATTGAGAGAGACTACCTGGGAGTATATCAAGCTACATCCCAGAACCATCACAAAGAGACCTTTAGAAAGATTTTTAGGTTGCAGGATAAACTTAAGATATGCATTTATCAAACAGGTTACATTACTACGTGTTCTAGTTAGGCATCCTATATCCCCATCAGTACTCTTATCCTGCCCTTCTTTTTTCCATAGTACTTATATCTTTCAACATTCTCGGTACTCATTTACTGTATTTATTATTTATTGTTTCTTTCTAGGACAATGTAAATTTTATAAGAACAATGATTGTTGTCTTTTTTTGTAGGAACACATAGAACAGTGTCTGTTAAAGATAAAATATCATTACTATAATATTTACAAATATTATAAAAATATATAATAAATATTTATCATGTATTATTATATTTCTAACAATAAATATTATATTTATCATTATATTATATTAATGATATTTTATTTGTTATAGAAAACATAATGAATATAATAACATATAATAAATATATTATATATTTAAATAAATAAATACAAATTATCATATTTATTATGTATTTTATAATTTTATAAATATCATATTAATTATATTTTATCTTTTCTATCACCTATAACTATCAATTTTAATTATTAAAAAGTAATGGGGATTAATGATTTACAATTATAGTCTCTAGATAATTCAAAATGCTATATATGAAACAACCACAGAAAAAGATTCCAAGCCAAGAGATTTGCTGACTCCAGTAGACACATCCATCTTTTATTTCATATACCAAATAATACTGTTTGTACAGAGAATTGTTGCCCTTCAAACATGTATGCAAAATTATTTTGTTACATTCAGATTCTTAAAGGGATGGATCTGAAAAACAGGATATGTCTTTTGCCTCCTATGTTGGGATCCCAAGTTCAGATTTTTATTTTGCTATAAAATTCCCAACATCCCCAATCCTATTTAAGTGTTCTTTCTTTTCTAATTCTTATAGGCTTGTAGTTAGGCATCTTTATTAGAAACTTCTTTTGCCTTGCATCATAGCTGCTTTTTAAGATACCTATAGATTCAACTACTCAATGACAATGGACAGATAATTTACGTGATTATTACATGGTATCTGGGGCAGAATTGTACCTAATACATGTCTGCTAAGTTGAATTGCCATAATCCATGCATAATTGGAGAGAGAAAATGCATATCTGTCATCACTGTGTGAAAGGAGTAAGGTGGAAAGAGAACAAGTTCTATGTATTCTTTGAAAAGGAGATTGCCAGAGCCAATAATCTGAGGAATCAGCTTTCACCTTTTCAAAAAAAAAAAAAAATCACCTCATCCTGTCTCTGGAAAAATAACAGTGTGCTGAGGAGAAAGACACCACTGAAGGTTTTGAAGTTCTGGATAAAGTATTCTTCAGATCCTTATCAAGGGCAAGAAGCAAAAAGTGGCACCTGAGACACTTGAATAAAAACTATGAATTAGTATAGTAGTCTTTCTGGCCTTCTAAAATTATCACCATCAAAATGGTGTGATGTACAATTATATATCTTTGGTATAATGGACCTCTGAAAGATAAACAAATATTGATCACACCAAGAGTCTTTGGACTACTAACATCTTTATAATTTTGTATTTGTTTAGTAGTTTTTATTCAAGAAAAAATGTAGGTAAGCGATCCTTACACAAACTCCCCAGATGCAGTACTTGTTTTACCACAGTGATATGTACTTACAAAAGAGCACACAGTTGTAAATACCATTTCCAGTTCACCATAGCTACAAAGTAAGTGAGGTCTTTATTATTAAATCATTTGGCTAGCAGCAAATGTATCACAACGTCCCATAACATGCTACTAGAGCCCAAAGCAGAGAAGTCATGATTTTAAAACTACTTTAGAAACATCATTGCAACAATAATATAAAGAGACTAAATTTTTATAATGCCACAGTATAAATTCAACTGTTTCATTTTTATCTTTTCTCTTAGGTTTTGTCCATCTGAACATATGATATTCACATAATTACAGTGACATTATAGTTATGTCATATCTTAGTCAATAAGACCAAGGATTTCAAGAGGGAAAATAAGGAGACATCAGCAATGTATTATGCTTACCTTCTGTAAAACTTTCCAAACTTTTTGATAAAATCCAACTGGGACTCTATTCAGGGCTCCATCCAACCTTCTCCGGCGTTGCCATTGACCTTGACGACTATCTCTAGTTGTCTGCTGACCAAATGCACTAGCAAAGGACCCACTATTTGGAGTATTACAGGTCCCAGGGGACTTGGAAGAAGAGAAAGAAAAAACATAAATCAGAAGTGATCTCTATTTCTCTGATAAAGTATTACAACACAGTGAACAATAAAAAATCTGCCAAATTTTATGCCACATATTATGTAATATAGCTATGATAAAGAGGTAACAGGGAAGCTAATAGACATCTATATAGTTAGTAGTGCTGTAAATTTGAAGAATCCTTTTAGAACACAATCTGATGTTATGTACAAAAAAGAAGAACCTTACAAATACTGATGAATAGAACATTGTTAGCTATCTCTTTACCTGGTTATCTCTTAAATTTCCAACTGGTCTATAGTTTTGTTTATTGCTCTTATGAGCCATAACACAAGCCTCAGTAAATTTAAAAGGATTAAAATCCAAGCACCACAATATAATTTAATTAGAAATCAGTTAAAGGAAGAAATTCAGGAAATTAACAAATATATTATAATTAAAGAACACACTCCTGAGTAACCAATGTATTAAGGAAAAAAATCAGAAGAAAAATTGGAAGATGAATGAAAACAAAAACACAACATACAAAAACGTATGTGGTATAGTTAAAATGGTGCTTAAAGAGATATTTATGTTTTAAATGCTTGCATTAAAAAGAACTGAATCTCAAATCAATAACCAAACCTATCTTCAGAAAAAAATTGAACAGAAATAAAGCAGAAGGAAGGACATAGTAAAGATTCAAGTGAAAAGAAATGAAGTAGAGAATAAAAAAATAAAAGAGAAAAAATAATGAAATCTAAATTTGTTTCTATGAAAATATCAATGAATAGAAAAATCATTAGGTAGATGAACTGAAAAAGAAGAAATAGATGACATCAATTCCAACCTCACATAAATGAAAAGAATCATAAGAACATATTATTAGCAGCCATGTGCTAACAATTAATCACATAACCTAGATGAAATGGACAAATTCCTAGAAAGAACAAACTACCTAAACTGCTTTAAAAAAACAAAATCTAAATCAATTCATAAGATCAGATTAATAAGACCAACAATTCCTACAAAGAAAAGCCCTAGTACAGATAGCTTCACTGATTAATCTATAAAACATTTAAAGACAAATCAATACCAGTCCTTTTTCTTTCTTCCTAGTATCTGGGGTTGAACCCTGGTCATTTTTTAATGCTATGCAAGTGTTCTGTTATTGAGCTATAACTGTGCCCTTTTAATTTTTTATTTTGAGACTGGGTCTTGCTAAACTGCCCAGGCTGGCTTTGAACTTTGAAATTTTTTAAATTCTCCTGCCTTAGCATCTCTAGCAGCTGGGATTACAGGTATGTGCAACCATGTCTGGCTTAGCACTAGTTCTTTTTGAAATGTTAAAATCATGCATTATAGTTATACATAACAGTGGGTTTCATTTTGACATAATCATACATGCTTGGAATATAATTCATTCCATTTCATTCTTCATACTTTACTTCTTCTTTCTCTCCCCTCTCCCATACCTCCTCCCCATTGCCATTTCTACTGGTCTTCCTTCTATGTGTTTATTGTTTCTTTAATTGATGCTTTATAGGTATTCAGAAAGGTTAAATTCATTGTAATATATTCATATATGTACATAGCTTAATTTGGTCAATTTCATTCTGCAGTTCCTCCCTTTTCCCATCCCTCCTCCCTCCCTCTTTATCCCCTTTACTTCATTGAAATCCCTTCTATTTTCATGGGATTTTCCTCCCCAGCCCTGCCTTTTTACCCCTTTATTTTGGTCTAGCTTCTTCATATGAGAGAAAACATTTAATCCTTGACTTTCTGAGTCCGGCTTATTTCACTTAGCTCAATGTTCTCCACTTCTATCCATTTACCAGCAAATGCCATAATTTCATTCTTCTTTATGGCTAAGGGAAACTTCATTATTAATATCAGTTCTTTATAATCACTTCCAAAAAAGAGGAAGGAACACATCCCAACTAATTCTATGAGACTAGTATTATCCCAATACCAAAACCAGCCAAAGACATCACAAATAAAGAAAACTGCAGTCTGATACCCTTTACAAATATAGATAAAAGAATGTTCAACAAGATGGGTATGGTGGTACCCTCCTATGATCCCAGCTATTTGGAGAGATGAGGCAGGAGGAATGCAAGTTAGAGGCCAGCCTTAGCAAATAAAAGATAAAAAAAGAGCCAGGGATGTAGAACACCCTTGTATTCAATCCCCAGTACTGCAAACAAACTAACAAACACCAAATGCTAGCAAACTGAGTTTTGTGATATATTAAAAGGATTGCACACTATAATGAAGTAGGATTTATTCTATCAGTTCAAGGTTTTTAAAATATCTAAACATTAATAAAAAACACCATCTGAACAGATGAAGAAAAAGCATTTGACAAAATTTGATATGCCTTCCTGAAAAAAAAAAAAAAACACTTAACAAACTAGGAAAAGAAAGGAATTTCCTCAATCTAACAAAAAGTTACATTTTGTATTCTCTGAAAATGAACACTAATAAAGACTGATACTTTCCCCTCTTAAGATAAGGATGCCAAATCTCACCACTACTATTCAGCATTGTAGTGGAGGTTCTAGACAGGACAATTAAGCAAGAAAAGAAGTAACATTATTTCTATTTACAGATAACATAATCTTGTATCTAGAAAATACTAAGTAACTCCTTAAACGTAACTACAACTAATAAATAATTTCAGTAAAGTTGTATGATTTCAGATCAACAAAAATCAATTATATTTTACTTGAATAGATGTTCCACTAAAGAATATATGTAAATGGTCCACAGGTATATCAAAAGATACCCAACACAGAAAAATCATTAGAGTAGAGGGAAGAGAATGGGGGAGAGAAGAGGAGGGGAGGAAAAGGGAAGGTACCAGGGACTGAAATAGAGCAAATTATATTCCATGCTTTTATAATTATGTCAAAATGAATCCTAATATTTATGTAACTAAAAGAATAATAAAATAAATAAGAAATTTAAAGAACTAAATTGTAAATTTAGTTTTTAAATGATAAAAAGGTGCTAAACATCACTTATTATCATGGAAATGCAAATCAACCCACAATCCACCCCTTCGTGTTCAAAACACTAGGCAAACTAGGGAGAGTAGGAACATACCTCAACATTGTAAAAGCTATCTATGCTAAATCTAAGGTCAACATCATTCTAAATGGAGAAAAAAAGAAAGTATTCCCTCTGAGAACTGGAATAAAACAAGGATGTCCTCTTTCACCAATTTTATTCAACACCATCCTTGAAACTCTAGCCAGAGCAATTAGAGAGAAGAAAGAAGTTAAAGGGATATAAATTGGAAAAGAAGAACTCAAACTATCACTATTTGCTTACAACATGATTCTATATTTAGAAGATCCAAAAAATTCCACCAGAAAACTTCTAGAACTAATAAATGAATTCATCAACATAGCAGGATATAAAATTAACACCCATAAATCAAATGTGTTCCTATACATCAGTGATGAAACCACTGGAAGAGAAATTAGGAAAACTACCCCATTCACAATAGCCTCAAAAAATAAAATACTTGGGAATCAACCTAACAAAAGAGGTGAAAGACCTCTACAATGAAAACTATAGAACACTAAAGAAAGAAACTGAAGAAGATCTTAGAAGATGGAAAGATTGCCCATGCTCTTGGATAGGCAGAATTAACATTGTCAAAATGCCCATACTACCAAAAGCATTATACAGATTTAATGTAATTCCTATTAAAATCTCAATGATATTCTACATAGAAATAGAAAGAGCAATCATGAAATTCATTTGGAAAAATAGGAGACCCAGAATAGTCAAAGCAATCCTTAGCAAGAAGAATGAAGTATGAGGCATCACAATACGAGACCTTAAATTATTCTACAGAGCCATAGTAACAAAAACAATATGGTATTGGCACCAAAACAGACATATAGACCAATGGTACAGAAAAGAAGACACAGAGACAAATCCATATAAATACAGTTATGTCATACTAGACAAAGGTGCCAAAAACATACATTGGAGAAAAGATATCCTCTTCAACAAATGGTGCTGGGAAAACTGGAAATCCATATGTAGCAAAATGAAATTAAACCCCTATCTCTCACCCTGCACAAAACTCAACTCAAAGTGGATCAAAGACTTAAGCACTAGAACACAGACCCTGTGCCTAATAAAAGAAAAAGTAGGCCCAAATCTCCATGTCAGCTTAGGAAGTGACTTCTTAATAAGACTCCTAAAGCACAAGAAGTAAAATCAAGAATCAATAAATGGGATAGAATCAAACTAAAAAGCTTCTTCTCAGCAAACAAGACAATCAATAACATGAAAAAGAGCCTAGGAATTGGAGAAAAATCATTATCACATGCACCTCAGAGAGTATTAATCTCCAGGATCTGTAAAAACTCAACACCAAAAAACAATTAATCTAATCAATAAGTTGGCTAAGGAACTGAACACTTCACAGAGAAAAAAATACAATCAATCCACAAATATATGAAAAAAAATGTTCACTATCTCTACATATTAGAAAAATGCAAATCAAAACTACACTGAGATTCCACCTCACTCAAGTCAGAATGCAATTATCAAGAATAAATGTTGGGAAGGATGTGGGGAATAATAAATGCAACAATAAATGTTGGGAATGATGTGGGGAATAAGATACACTCATACATTGTAAAAGCTATCTATGCTAAACCTAAGGTCAACATCATTCTAAATGGAAAAAAAAAGAAAGCATTCCCTCTGAGAACTGGAATAAAACAAGGATGTCCTCTTTCACCACTTTTATTCAACATCATCATCATACATTGCTGGTGTGACTGCAAATTGGTGCAACCACTATGGAAAGAAGTATGGAGATTCCTCAGAAAACTTGGAATGGAACCACCATTTGACCCAGTTATCCCACTCCTTGGTTATAGCCAAAGGACTTAAAATCAGCATACTACAGTGACACAGCCACATCAATGTTTACAGCAGATCAATTCACTATAGCTAAACTATGGAACCAACAGAGGTGC